TCCCAGCACACCACCAGGGCTTCTATATTATTTAGAAAACAAAAGTGAGAACAACCCAAAATGTTTTTTCTCCTTAGAAACATCTTAATCTCTAGACTTTTACCATGATTTCCTGAGACTTTGTAATTTGAATTATAATGAACTTTATCTCAGAGGGTTACTTTGTGGTAGTCTCACGCTGATGTGCATGGCTCCTTGTTCACACTTTTTATCTTTGACTAATGTACCACCTTCAGAAACCCTATAGGGCAGTCAGTCCTACTAGGCCCTATAGAATCGCTGTGTGTCCAGATTGATGGGAAAGCACATGCAATAACCCCTTCAAGTGTCCCTGAGCACACAAACAATGAAGGACTTAGCTACTAAAGGCAAAGTTGGTAGTTCGCATCCACCCAGAGGTGCCTCCAAAGAAAGGCCTGGAGATCTCCTTCTAAACAACCACCGTCATTGAAAACCTTGCGGAGCATAGTTCAGCTCTGAAACAAACGGACTCACCATGATTTGGAGTAGATTCACCAACAGCTGGTTTGATTTACCATTAATAAACCCAAACTCCTCAAGTGGTCTATATTTTTATCCTAAGAATTGGGTTTTAGTCAACTTCTAGATTTGTTGTAAAAGTTAAATAATTGATAGTACAGATTTCAGGGAAATGACCACAAAAAGAAACCATCAAATTATTGAAAGAAATCCTCAGGAAGATTCAGTTCTTTCTCCTGCAGAACAGCTGGTAGTTTCGAACTGCCAACCTTGAGGTTAGCAGCCTGATTCGTAACCACTACGCTACCAGAGCTCCTTAATGACAAAGGTACACTTTTTAAAAATTAGAATTGGATTGAGTATAAGAAGACATCCAAGTTCCTTCAGCTTCCCATTTCTCAAACATGCCTTGTCAGTGCTCATGCGTTCTTGTTGATTCAAGTCGTTTCCAACTCATGCCATCTTGGTTTCCGAGAAGCAGCTGTTGGGTTTGAACTTCCGACCTTGCATAAGCTGCCTCAGTTCCTAGGTGTATCTTCTCCCGGTTCTGTAGGGATGGCCAGTATTCATCAGGAGAGGTTGTGGGACATCTGGGGGTCAGAAGGACATCTGTGCACCCCAGCTAGGGTTCTAGACACAGATCTGGTTCTAGACACATTTCCTCTTCTTGGTGTCCTTATATTGCTCTTGGTGCCATTTAGGGCTCCTTTTGTGTGTGTGTGTGTGTCATTTCAAAAGGCTTCTTGCTACAAGAAGCAATCAACTAAATGTTATGTTTCCCATGTTCACCAGCTGTAGAATACCAAGTCTGTGCTAGGCAATTTGCTGGAGATCGGGAAATACCAACAAAAACAGTACTATCCAGTTGATTCTAACTCATACTAACCCCATGTCTTACAGACTAAAAGTACTCTGTAGGAATTTCTTGGTTATATTCTTTACCAAACCTCTTTTCTACTATGCTGCTGACTGGATTTGAACCACCAACTTTTTGGTTAGTACCAAACCAAAAACAAACCTTCTGCCATTGAGTTGATTCCACCTCATAGCAACCCTAGGTACAGTATTGGTAGGGTTTCTGAGGCTGTAAACCTTTTTAGAAGCAGACTGCTTCTTCTTTCCATAGTGAAGCCGCTGGTGAGTTGTGCCTAATATTTGGTTAGCAGTCCAGTGCTTAACCCACTGCACCACTGGAACACCTGGTTTGCCTAGTGGTCAAGAGCCAGCCATTCACTCTACCCAGAGGAAGGCCTACAGTGAGAATGGAGAGGTGGAGATGTTGAGCTGGGGAGTCATTTCTGACTCGTAGTGACCCTACATAGGGCTTCTGAGGCTGTAAATCTTTACTGGAGCAGAAAGCCTCATCTTTCTCCTGTGGAACAGCTGGTTATTTCAAACTGCCGACCTTGAGGTTAACTGTCCAACTCATAACCACTACCCTACCAGAGCTCCTTAATGGAGAGGTACAAGGTACAAAAGTATAAATGAAGGTCAGTCTTATTTCATTGAAGAAATTATATCTTATTCATGATATCTAGTGATTTGCTCGTTTGACCCTTACCCTTCTGTGCCAAGTTGAGTGAAATAGAACCATATAATCTGGCTTTTCCTAAACTATGCAAGAGCTCAAAATACAAATATTTGAAGAGTGAGGTGTTTGACTTTCCAAAATATCTGTGTCCTGAGGAATTCTGTTAGGAATTCCACCGAATGTTCTCGCTTGTTTCAAGAATACTTGAAAATGCTATCGCTGATTAAATTTAACACTTGAATTCTATTCCATTTACTCAGATTGCTGTCAAAAGTTTCCTCTTCATTATTACTCCTTCTAATCCTTCATCTCTTTTTTTCTTTAATGTTTCTTGTGAATTATGTGATAGTTTACATGATAGAACATTAGTTTTACATTCATCCTATCGTATATAGTTTCATTTCCATGGTTATGAAATCCCCTCCATGCATCATCAACCAACCAAAGGGTATACACTACAAGCCTGCCCCTCAGTCGTCAGCACACAGCCCCTCTCTCTATATATACCTGAAGTCCCCAGCTGCTCCATGTCTCCATGTCATCTTCTCTGCCTCCATCTCAGACATTACTGCTTCTCTGGGTAGGGTCCCACTCTCCTCTCTTCTCCCTTGATGGTCCCAGGGACCTCCATTCCTAGACTGCAAAGTTAATCACTCCCCTTCTTGCTACAAAACGTCTACCTTTACATTTCCAATCCTCACAATCAGTCCTGATAACAATGATTCACTCTTTCATCTTTTAAAACAAGATAGCATCTTTGGTACAATCTCTGAATAGGATTAATAACATGCTTTCCACCCAGCACCCACCCCACCCCCTAACTACATCCATAATCCTCAGAAAGGCTTAAGAGACTCACCTAGGCTAGCTATATTAACAGAAGCTGGCAACTAGTCTGTGGTTCAGGAACGTCATGTGTTAAGTATCCACAATTACTTAATGTTGCAGACTTGCCCAACCTGAATTTAGAGAAGTAACATTTAGGGGAATTGACTAGATGTGCTTAATATTTTAAGTGGATCCCGCTCTGCTGCAATAGCCAACTTTAAAGCAAATGAATATTTTCAAAAGTTATTTGGATTGGAACATTCCTGAAATCCTAATCAAATTTGGGGACTGGATGACACTAGACTAAACATGCTGTGGACATCATTTTAGTGGTGAAAAAAAAACAATGTTGTCACTTTGAGGACTAAAGTGCTGCTGACCTGAGCCATGGTATTTGCACTCATCTCATAGCCATGTGAAATGTACACAATAAACAAGTAAGGTCGTGAAACTATTAACGTATTTGCTTTATGCTTTAGCCAAGACTGTTGCCAATACCCTGATCTGCCAGATGAATAAACAAATCTACCTTGAAGGAAAGATAGACAGAATACTCCTCTGGTTATTGTTGTTGTTAAGTGCCGTCTAATCGATTCCAACCCATAGCGACTCTGTATAGGATTTCCAAGAGCAGCAGGTGAACTTGAACTGCCAACCTTGTAGTTCAAACGACTTTGCAGTCTGACACATTAGCCCACAGTGCCACACCAGGAGTCTTCTGGTAGCATAGTGGATTATGAGCTTGACTACTAATTAGCAACCACCACCACCACCACCCCTCATTAAAAGCAAGAATGGCAAGACTTCATCTCACTTTGGACATTATTATCAAAAGAAACCAATTGCTGAAAAAAGACATTCAGTCACCTCATATGCATGTGAAAATTGGGCAATGAAAGAGGAAGGCTGAAGGCGAATCAGTGCGTTTGAAACATGACGTTGGTGAAGAATATTGAAAGTACCATGGACTGCTAGAAGAATAAACAAATCTGTCGGAAGAAGTACAGTCAGAAGTATATAATCTTAGATGTGAGGATGGTGAGACTTTGTCTCACAAACTTCAGACATGTCAGGAGAGACTAGTTCCTGGAGAAGGACATCATGCTTGGAAAATGGAAGGTCAGCAAAAAAGAGGAAGAACCCCGGTCAGATGAATTTACACAGGATCAGCAACACTGGGCTCAAATGTAGCAACAGCTGTGAGGATGGTGCGGGACCAGGCAGTGTTCTATTCTGTTGTGCACAGAATTGCTGAGTCGGAACAGACTTGACCTTGAAAGCACTTCACAACAACTTGTATCTAAAGAAATGACATGAGATAGCCAGATTTACAACTCAACTTAGACTGTCAAGAATCTGGAGCATTTTGTGTTTATCTCCCATTTATTAATAAAATGGTTCTTCAGGAGCTACCTCCTGGCTTAAAGGGCAAAAGTGTATGCTCGTCTTTCTAGGTTAATTCTCCTCTGATGTGTTTTTATTCCATTCTATAGCTCTGTCTGGGTTGTTAAGGGGTTTTCTGTTGAGCTATTGCAGTGATTCATAATGACAAAGTATTTTTCTTCTACATGTATAAGACCCTGAAGGTTTAAGGACTTCTTTTTTTGGCCCAAACATAAAACCGAAGAGAACATTCAAGGGTTCATATAGGGTGATTCTACTTATTTCAAGTTCAGAAATGGACACAACATATCTCTGGTCTTGACTGTATAGTAGTTACACTTGGGGGTTAGAAAAAAGAAGAGGGAATGAGGGAGGTTTTTAGAATGCTTGGAAATGGTGTCTTTCTGGATGGGAATGCTGAATCTGGAAGTGTATTCATTCAGCTTGTAAATATTAAACTGTACATCTAACCTTTGTGTATATACTAGGCTTCTCTGTCAAAAATAACACATCAGAGGTGAAAAGCATTCGGATTTCCTTTATTCATTCCAATAGTATGTTTCAAAGGGGTTCCTGTTAATCAGAGATCACATTACTGTAGTTTTTTTGGGGGGGTTCCTTAAATTATAAGAATAATTAGCAGGAGAACCAGGATTGGCTCTTCTGAGTGAATGCCTTGAGCTTTTTTCCCTTTCGCAAGCACAAGCTGCACTAGTCTATAAGACACATTTCACAGAGTCAACCTCTCTCAATGAGCTAACAGATTGGCATGTTACAGGCGAGCTGTGTGAGGAGAAGCTGGACTTCTGTGCCCAGGACCTGAACCCTTGCCAACATGACTCCAAATGTATCCTGACGCCAAAAGGATTCAAGTAAGTAGAACCTGTGTTCGGGCTCAGGAACGGGACGATGGGGCAGGTTCTTCTTTTAAGAACCCTCCTTTCCAGATCCAGCTTCACACTTGGCTCAGAATTAAAGGGACTCCTGCGGTGGTACTGTAGGATAAGCACTGGACCTCAAGGATGGTTTGAATCACTAGGTCAGCAGTTCACACTCACTAGCCAGCCGCTCCTTGGAAACCCTATACAGGATTGTTAGGAGTTCGAACCAACTCAGAGGCACTTAGCAACAACAATTATGGTCAATGACATTTTTAGAGATGTTAATACTGCAACCTGGACTTTTGTTGTTGTTGTTTTTAGTACACTAGAAACATCAAATAAGTAGAATGTTTCATTGTATTCCATGACTCCTTCTAGGAGGTCCTCTATGGAATAAGGTAGCCTTTGAATAACTTGTTGTTGTTAGTTAGTTATAGCTACATTGGCTCCAATTCTTGGCGCTCTTACATACAGAACAAACGTCACCCAGTTATATGCCATTCTTCTTCTTGAGTACCTGATAACTTGACAAAGTATATGTCCCTATCTAGATTGATTCTCCTCTTCATGATCGTTGTGAGTTTGAGTCTATTGTTGTGATAGTGTGTTATGCCTTCCAACCAAGGGTACTCATCTCCCAGAAAAACATTGGATAGTATTTTGTGATTCTTGAGGTATTTGTTGTCTAATTTATAGAAGTAGATCACCATGGTTTTCTTCTTAGTCTAGACGTTCCACTGAAACCAGTCTACTGTGGTTGACCTTGCCTAGTATTTGAAATACCAGTGAAATAGCTTCCAGCATCCCTATCAGCACACACACCACCTCAGTACATCAAAGTGACAGATGGGTGATGGAGTCTTGGGATATAGATTTAAATTTATTTGAAAGCCAATAAAATTAATCCATATCCATTTGATATTTCATGAAGGTAAGTCTATAGTAAAATCTGGAAGTTTGATTTCCATATAACTGAATATTTTATTGCCTAAAAAAGCCCTTTCTTCTATCCAGGTTGGGGTAAGATTCGTTTACTCACTTACTGCTAGTGAGCCAATTCTGTACGATGTATCATGTTTCTGAGGCCAGAATTCTTTATGGGAGCAGAAAGCCTCATCTTTTCCCCAAAGAATGGCTGGTGGATTTCAACTGTCAACCTTGCAGTCAGCAGTTCAGTGCTTTTCCTACAGCATCACACCTGGGCCCCTGGGGTAGGATTAAAGAAACCGTATGTCCAAATTGCTGAGGACAATATTAATTAATTATTGTCTCCATGTAACTGTTAATAGTGGAGTCCTGGTGTGGCACTACAGGTTAATGAGCTGAACTGCAAGGTTGGTTTGAACCACAGGGTCAGTGGTTCAAGCTCACCAGCCACTCCTCGGAAACCCTATACAGGGTTGCTATGAGTCAGAATCGACTCGATGGCACTTAACAACAACAACAGCAATTATTAATAGCGCCCTTTTTGCCTTCAAATTGTGCCGGTTACCGTGAGGCATGGTGTGAGCTCAGATCTTCAAAATAATTTCTTTTTCTCATTGGCAATCATCCTGGAGTCTATTTGGTACCAAATGAAATAGCTCTTTTTGCCCCAATCATATAGAGTCAGTAATGTCTGATTTTAAAGCTGTAAGTACTATAAAGATAAAGCTGATGCACAGTCTTCATTTTAAGCATGAAGGAACCACGGACCAGAGAGTTTGGATGGCTGTCTGAAATGCTTCTGGTTATTTATTGGCAGAGCCGCAGCTAGATTTTACACTTTCCAGTTCAGTGATTCTCCTAATACAACATGTTGCCTCTATGAAATTCTATGATTTATTAATGTTGCAGTTGGTCTGGTATAGAAGATAGAATACATTCTCCAGAATGGCAGCATTGGGGTCAAGAGGTGAGCTGTTTTTGTCAGGCAAGGAGCCAATGGCCTTATTGGGTCCTTCACCCAGTATTTGTTGATTACGTATAGGGAGCCAGGGAATCTAGTCAAAGAGCTGTTTGATGTTGCTGTAATACTTTACAGCTATTCAATCTCATTTACACACTATAACGTCTCAGTGAGATAAAATAAAAAACAATCCAGACTACTGCGATTGAACCCATTCTGACTTGTAGTGATCCTACATAGAACAGAGGAGAGCTGCACCATAGGGTTTCAGAGACTTAACTCTTTTTGAGAGTAGATAGTTTCTTCATTCTCCCATGGAGTGGCTGGTGGATTTGAATGTTGTTGTTGTTAAATGTCATCAAGTCCATTCGGACTCACAGAGACCCTACATAGGTGGATTTGAACTGCCCAACTTTTGGTTAACAGTCCAGTGCTTATCCTACAATGTCACACCAGATAAATTTGAATAGCCCATGCTAGGTCAGTAGCCATTTTATAAGAACTATTACTTGGGCTACTGGTAGCGTAGTGGTTACGAATTGGGCTGCGAACCTTAAGGTCAGCGGTTCTAAACTACCAGCTGCTCTGCGGGAGAAAGATGAGGCTTTCTACTCCCGTAAAGATTTACACCCTCAGAAACCCTGTACAGGGTCGCTATGGGTCGGAACCGACTTGACGTCACTTAACAACAACAACTATTACTTGGGCTGGTACTAGAAGATCTAACCGGCGGTTCAAGCTCACCAGTCATTCCTCAGAAACCTATACAGGGCCACTATGGGCCGGAACCAACCCGACAGCACTTACTAACAACAACAGGAGCATCAGACATTCATAAAGTTGTGGGTACAGACGACTCAGTTTCAGCACTGCCTTTCAAATGTCAATCGAATGACATCTTTAATCTCTAGTTTTCTTTAAAGACATTTTCGGTTTGTTTTAAAAGCCACTGTTTCAGAATGTAAAGAAACCTGGTGGTATGGTGTTTAGGTGTTTGGCTGCTGACCAAAAGGTTGGCAGTTTGAATGCACCAGCTTCAAACCCACTAGCTACTCTGGGAAAAAGGTGGGGCAGTCTACTTTAGGAGAGAGTTGCAGCTTTAGTGATCCTCAGGAGCACTTCTCCTGTTTCCTACCGGATAGCCCTGAATCAGAACAGACTCGGTGGCAACTGGTTTGAGTTCTGGGTTCACTTTAGAATATGCAGCTTCCTAGCAACAAGTTGTTATTCTTTTCAATGCTTTATTGAAAATAAAAGAATAGCTTTGGTTCTACTTTCTATTACATCTTAGTTTATGTTGTTGTTAAGTGCTATTGAGTCAGTTCTGACTCATAGAGACCCTGTAGAGGGTTTCTGAGGACTGGCTGGTGTAACCCTACACAATGTAAGCCAGGAATCTTACAAAGATACTTACTTGTTAAAAGAATTTTACTTTGCATTTTGTTCAACCAAAGTCATTTCATACAAAATCATTTTAACTCCTAAATGTCTGTAATCTGCCCACAATTGATTCCAAATTAAAAGTGCATTGTTTGTGTAACAAATATCTTTTTTTCAGAAAAAATCATTAGGGTCTACTGTACAGCTTTCACAGTGTTCTTTGTATGTTGTAATTACAAGATAAATTTTGAATGATATAGTGGAACCCATTCAAAAATAAGAGCATTTATTTTCAAAAAAACCAATCCTTAATGAAATATGTCTTTACTATTCTCAATTTAATTACATACTTTTGAACATGCCTCTTGCTGGATTATGGATTCATTGAGTGGAGAGCTAGTAATTCTCAGTTATAATTTGTAAGCTTGTTTTATAGCTGTTTGTAGGTTAGAGATAACACTTTAAGTCATTGTTGTTAAGTACCGTGGAGTTGGTTCCCACTCATAGTGACCCTGCACAGGGTTTCTGAAGCTGTAAATCTTTACATCAGAAAGCCTCATCTTTCTCCCGCAGAATGGCTGGTAGTTTCGAACTGCCAACCTTGAGGTTAGCAGCCTGATTTGTAACCACTATGCTGCCAGAACTCCTTAGTTTAAGTCATGTTGTATGCTGTTATCACTATGTAGTTGTTGTTGTTAAGTGTAGTCGAGTTGCTTCTAACTAATAGCAACCCTGTGCAAGGTCTCCAAGGAGTGCCTGGTGAATTTGAACCACCAATCTAGCAACCTGTGTGTATGTGTATATCTCTGTGGGTAAATGTGAGAGGGCTTCCAAAAGTTCACAGAAAAATTCCATCAGTTTATAGTTTAATTTTTCTACCTTATTTTTTTTTTTTTTTGCAAACAGCAAGCAGGGTCTCCTGCTTCTGTTTTTACTTTGCTTTTGCCGACTGTAACCTCCCCCTTCGAGGTATCTTCTCAGTGCACAATACCAACATTATTTTCCATTTTGTTGCCTTAAAATCAGCATGGCATGATTACAAACATACCTGGCAAAATATATGTAGAAATATAATAAATGACCGGACATAACGGGAAGGAGAGCTGCAGTGAGAAAATGGATTTAAAGACCAACATGATACGAGGCTGCCAAAAAACTCATCTCCTGACAAAAGTTGTTTGGAAAGTTGTATTGTTACTTCAAATTCATTTTCTTATTACCAAGCTAACAGAGCTGGTTTTACTTTTCTTGTTTTATTATATACCTCGTAAATCTCCTAAATTGCCTTTAAGCAATTTTGGGCTATGATATACTTTAAGCGGTGTGTTCAAGCATGCTTCTTGCTTAGACATTGTTTGGGCTCCTATACAATGTGTGTGTGTGTGTGTGTGTGTGTGTGTGTGTGTGTGTAGTGTGGTGGTTACGAATTGGGCTGCAGTGGTTACGAATTGGGCTGCTAACCTCAAAGTCAGCAGTTCAAAACTACCAGCTGTTCCGTGGGAGAAAAATGAGGCTTTCTGCTCCCATAAAGATTTGCAGCCTCGGAAACCCTGTGTAGGGGAGTCAGAACCAACTCCACAGTACTTAACAACAGCATGTGTGTGTATATATATGTTAATTTTTGCTTCCTTTCTCCCACTTTCTCAGATAATAGAGCTGAGGGAACAGAACTTGATGGGTTTTATTGATAATGCAAACTTTAGGGAATTCCAATTTACGTTTGGTTCTTTCTTGTTTGAAACTTGATCTGGAAGCCAAAAGAAAAGGCAAAAATGTTGATCATAATGTGACTCCAAGTTCTAATGAGCTTGAAAACAGAATATGTGGAGGAGGGAGTGTAAAAACAGCTCTTAGCCCTAGATTGTGATGAATGTGTGGTTCTCTTAACTTTTGCTTTCATATCTTTTCTCAGCTAAATAATTTAAAATATTTCAAAGCTTTTCGTCTTTTAGTGCTTGGAAGGAACTTCAGCTCTGCTCACGTTAACGTTTATGGAAGTTCCCTTTTCAGGCCTTGTCCATCCATTTGAGAATGTGTATCTGACTGCTAAGGATCCGTTTAACTCTACCCTGTGTATAGAGGGGATAGTATTGATACTTGATGTGAAGACTTCTTCCGTCTCTGTTGGTGTTTAGAGTTACTACCTCCATGAGTATAAGGAGCTCTAGTAGCGTAGTGGGTACGAATCGGGCTGTGAGCCTCAAGGTCAGCAGTTCGAAACTACCAGATGTTCTGCGGGAGAAAGATGATGCTTTCTGCTCCTGTAAAGATTCACAGCCTCGGAAACCCTGTACAGGGTCGCTATGAGTCGGAACAGACTCCATGGCTCATAACAACAATAACCTCCATGAGTATAGGTCAAGTTCATCAAATTGTAGCAATTTACCCTCGTTCCCTTTATCAAAATTTGTTTTGTTCTTTTTATTTTTTTTCATCTTCCTCTAGTTGTATTCTGATTATCAAGCCATCTAAGCTAGGTCACATGGGTAGGGTCCATTTAACTTTAGAGTTGTTTGTGGTGTTTGGTTATGGGTTAGCAGTAAAGCCAGCTGCCTGCAAAGCAAGCATGTTTATCCTATAAGCTCATTTTGCTTCTTAATTCCTACATCCACAGCTGAAAGACTCTTACCCTTAGGGGTTGTTGTTTTAAAGTACTGTGTCCTGTCTGACTCACAGAGACGCTGTATAGGGTTTCTGAGTAGTAGCTGATGGGTTTGAGCTGCTGACCTTGTGATTAGCAATTCAGTGCTTATCCTACATCACCACAACAAACCTTAGGGGCATACACTCATAACTGTTTTCATTGATCCATTCTTCAGAAGTAAGTCTTCAATCTTAATTTTGAATTTTCATGCAAAACTCTTAGCATTCTGGAATGTGCTACATTCATTTGGGTGTTTTAATTGTACTTTTTCACTTTTATCCTAATGATTTTGAAATGGAACCATAGGTTAATTTGTGTAGACTAAGCCTTAAGGGATTATGCAGAATTATTTAAAAAACAAAACATATAGAATTATTCTCATTTATCATTTGTTATTGTTACTAAGTGCTATTAAATCGGTTGCAACTCATAACAACCCTGTATAGGCTTTCTGAGGAACAGTTGATGGGTTTGAACTTATGACCTTGAGGTTCAAACAAACCTTATGGTGGTCCAGTGCTTATCCTACAGCACCATACCAGAACTCCTCATTTATCATTTATTATGTGTGGAACATACTTATAACTTTACTGGCATTGTTTTATATAATCTTTTTTAAACCTGTGAGGTGGGAATTCGTTTACTATACATGTTACCAATGAGGAAAGAGAAGCTTCAAGAAACTAAATAACTTAGTCAAGATTCCATTTATATTAAGGGTAAAGCCAGGCTTCAATCCTTGTTGTTGTTAAGTGCTGTGGAATATGATCTGACTCACAGCACCCTTGTATACGATTTCCGGAGCTTTAAATCTCTGCGGGAGCAGAAAGACTCATTTTTCTCCCAAGGACCTTGTGGTTCACAATTCAGTGCTTATCTTCTGTCTAATGGCAAAGCACATGTTCTCCGGAGCTAAACCGTAGCCTGTGGCTTTGTTTTGAAGTCAATGAAGCATTTCTTTAACCAAACAAAGCAAAAAGAAATGTCATGGAATCCTGGTAGATACAAAAAGATCCCAGTGAGAGACTATTACAGAGATGGACAGAGGAAATTACCACAAGTCCCCTACCTATAGAGGCTCCATGAGCCCCTGTAGTTCCTCGCTGTGTAATTTCAAAACCATTACATGTGCCACACACAGTTTGCCTTAAACCAGATATCACCAGTGGTCCACACTGGAGGAAAACAGGATCAAAGAGTCCTGAGGAATTCATTATGTGGCATGCAGTACCATCAAGTCAGTTTCAACTCATAGCCAACCTGTATAGGGTTTCCAAGGAGCGGCTGGTGAGCTTGAACTGCTGATCTCGTGGTTTAAACCAACTTACAGTCTAGCTCATTAGCCCACGGCACCACACCTGGACTCCTGGTCAGTTGTTTGGGTTTAATTCCTGGTTCTGGGACTTAGAAGCTGAGTGTCCTTGAGAAAAGTATTTCAGTATTGTGAGAAGATGAAACTTGAATCCACTTACTTTGGAAGCATCAATTGTTAGAAAACGATGTCATGTTTGGTAAAGTAGAGGGGAGATTGACACACTAGCCACAAGGGACTCAGACATATGACAGTTAAGAAGATGGCATGGGACCTGGCATTGGTCTACTGAAGGTGTCCATGAGTGAAAACTGACTCAACATTTGACAAGCACGACAGTAGAGACAGTTGTGTCCTCAGTGTCACAGGGCAGTCCGGATCCATGAATCTTATGTATAGAGTCAAGACCAAGGAAGTTCTAGAGGAATGTCTGCTGTCTTATCAGCCCTGACTTTTCCATGCCTCGGACCACACCCAAGTGAACATGTTAGGAAGTTGTCTGCGGCATCTGTCCTGTGGATATCGCATCCGCGGCTCTACCCCACTCCCATTACATCAGCACTGTTATGTCACAATCATTGCCCAGGCTCAAGAAGGAGTATTTCCAAAGCTAACATATATGTTTTTCTTAAAATGATACTTTGTTCAAATGCATTTTTTCTGTATTAGGAAAGAAAACATGCTAATCAATGTTTAAATATGCTTAATCTTGTCAGTAAATTTTACAACCTGGCATTTTCACCATCCCACAGACTGACAGGTATTAGGCAGAGTTGAAAATAGAGTATTCTGTAGGCAAATACAGGAGAGTGGCTCAGACAGGGATGTGGGGGGAGATGGCAAAGACCCGGGTGACATTAATTCTCTCATTATTTGAGTTATGGGTGGTCTCCATAATCTGGGAGATAAGATCCATACTCCTCTGATAATTACAGTAAGCGACCAAGAATACTTGGAAGACCAGTACAATTTTCTCGGCATGCATTTATTTCTGGATACTTTGAGTCTAGTCCAAATACGTTCTGTAAAGATTTTTTTCCATTTTTAAAAAATGAAATGCAGCTGTTTTTACTTACTTTATTTAGCTCGGTGGGGTTGAAACCATTTATTTACCTGCCCATTCAAACAGATGTGACTGTACCCCAGGATACATTGGCGAACACTGTGACATCGACTTTGACGATTGTCAAGGTAACAAGTGTAAAAATGGAGCTCACTGCACCGATGCGGTGAATGGATATACCTGCATCTGCCCTGAAGGTTACAGGTAAAAGCAGGCCTATAGAAGGTCTCTGTGTTCTATTAGGCCTCCACATGAGCTCAATTCACATTGGTAACTAAGTAAAAAGACAATAAATATGTATTTTTTGCTATTTACCCTTCAGTGGCTTGTTCTGTGAGTTTTCTCCACCCATGGTCCTCCCTCGTACCAGCCCATGTGATAATTTTGATTGTCAGAATGGAGCTCAGTGCATCATCAGGATAAATGAGCCAATATGCCAGTGTCTGCCTGGCTACCAGGGAGAGAAGTGTGAAAAATTGGTCAGTGTGAATTTTGTAAACAAAGAATCGTATCTTCAGATCCCTTCAGCCAAAGTTCGGCCTCAAACAAACATCACTCTTCAGGTAAGATCCCTTCCTTTAGCAAGAGTTGATCTGCTTCTAAGCCAAATCTAGCTTCAAAGAGTTTTGATCCATGGTAGCTTGTGAGTGATATTTTTTAAATGGTGGTAGGTTAGTTAGGTCCCATGGAGTCAGTTCGGACTAAGCGACCTTGTATATGGGATGTGGTGCAGTGGGTTGATATTCTGGACTGCAAAGTCTGTTCAAACAACATGGTTGCTAATTCAAGCTCACCAGCTGCTCCTCAGAAACCCTATGCAGGTTCACTATGGGTCTGAACTGACTTGACAGCACTCAACAACAACAACAACAAAATCTTTTACAGGAGTAAAATGCCTCCTCTTTCTCCTGTGGAATGGTTGGTGGATTTGAACTGTTGACCTTGAGGTTAGCAGCCCAACTCATCACCCACTACGCTACCAGAGCTCCATTTTTAAATAGAAAGTTAACACACGACACAGTGACAGAAATGTTCCTTGAGTGCGAAAGCATCAGTAGATCTTTTCTTTAATGTTTCTATTTTCAAAACTAAACGATTACCAGGTATTTTTAGTCACTTTTCCATCCTCTGAAAAGATAAGGCAGCAATAGAATATCACTAATCAGCCACTAGCCGAAATGTTGGCAGTTCAAGTCCAACTCGAGGTGTGCTTGAGGTGTGCTTAAGGTCACAACCTGGAAAACCCTATGGAGCCTGGTTCTACTCTAACACACAGGGGTCACCTTGAATTAGAAACAACTCTCAACACTACACACATTCCATTCATTTATTGTCATTATGCCACAGTTCAGATTTGGGAGGAGGTGTTTTAACTTAGAAACCATGCCACTGAGCAGAGTGGAGAGGAAAAGTACCAGTAAAAAGTATGGCTTAACTTAACTAGAACCTTGAAGAATTCACATGAACGTAACCAACACAGTTAAACATTTCCTACCAAGTTACTGTGTACACAGAAGAAAGGTACTCCAAGTTCTCTGAAGAGATTACCTAGATTTTAAAAAAAGCACACAAAACCATCACTTTGATTCTGTCCCATGGCAAACCCATTTTGACTCATGATGACCCTGTATGTGTGTCAGAAGGTGACTGTCCTCCACAGGTTTTCAATGGCTGTTGTTGTTGTTGTTGTTGTCGTTGGCTGCAGGGCAGGGGATATAGATTGCCAAGCTTTCCTTCCAGAACAACTCTGGGTTGATTTGAACGGCCAACCTTTTGGCTAGCAACTGGATGCATTCACCATATTGCATCACCCAAGGAGTCCTGGTGTGGCACTGTAGGATAAGCAATGAACTATTAACCCCCCAAGGATGGCAGTTCAAACCCACCAGTCACTCCTTGGAAACCCTATGCAGGATTGCTAATAGTCAGAACTGACTAGATAGAACTTAACAACCACAACAAAGATACCTAGGCTAGATTGTTGTTAATTTTAGGACGAGTGGGGCAATTTGGACCTACATGCTTGTATTCTGTGGTCAGCAAAATATTTTTTAAAGATTTTGTATTAAATAGCTTTATCCAGTTTGCTATGGACCCCAACCCTTCTTGTCTGGCCTACAGTGACACTTGGGAAAGAGAGAAAAAGTTCTCTTGAAGTTCTGATGTATGAGAACTTGAAACATGGCAGGTCTTCTTAAGGAAGCCTCTCTCCTTGCCACCAAACAATTCCCACATCAAATTGATAAGAGATGTGCAGTCATGTTCTCAAGCTTAAATCCCAATTTTGACTTCATTCCTTCAGAAGCCCTGATAGGCCAGAGAATCAGGTTAAACAGAGATTTCCCGTGCTTTGAATAATTGTGAAGAATCTGTTGGGTTGGGTTTTTTTTTTTTTTTTTTTAATGGAATATGAAAATCAGTGTTGTACGTTGTCACATTTCATATATTCCATAAAGTGCATAATAGGAGCAGTATGTGCAGGTAAGTGAAAACCTCCAGCAAAGAAAACTCTAAGCACTTTCAGCACATTTCCTTGTTGTTGTTGTTGTGAAGTGTCGCCGGGTCAATTTTGACCCACAGTGACCCTGTTGTTATAGGGTTTCCAAGGAGCAGCTGGTGAGCTTGAACCACCGACCTTGCAGTCCAAACGGCTTTGCAGTCTGACACATTAGTCCACAGTGCCACACACTTCCTTTTGTTGTTGTTGTTGTTATGTGCCGTGGAGTCGGTTCTGACTCATAGCGACCCTGCACAGGGTTTCTGAGGCTGTAAATCTTTAAAGGAGCAGAAATCCTCCTCTTTCTCCTGTGAAACAGCTGGTAGTTTCAAACTGCTGACATTGTGGTTCGCAGGCTGATTCGTAACCACTACACTACCAGAGCTCCTTAGACATTTCCTTAAGTATCTGTTAATGTTCGTTTTCAATGTCTTTACTGATTTATTTGAAAGTAAGTTAGGAACCAGTTATCTCTCTAGTAATAATTTTAGCTAGCATTATTTTTCTCATAGCCACAAAAAACCAATCAGCCATAGAACCTAATCTTCACTTCCCAGTCTCATCTTTCTTTTTGAGGAAAGTTGTTTGGTTGCCTGTCCATCCCACTCATGCCACGATTACATCCTTCTAGATTGCCACAGATGAAGACAGTGGAATTCTCCTTTATAAAGGTGACAAGGACCACATAGCAGTAGAAATCTACCGGGGACGTGTTCGTGCCAGCTATGACACCGGCTCTCACCCAGCTTCTGCAATTTACAGGTGAAGCTCTCTATTGTGGGTAAAGATGGGGGAAGAACAAGAAATCTAATGAAGAACCGCTCCCCCGCTATCACTTTGTATGGCAAAGGAATGTGGGTAATTTGGTTATGGCAGGCTTTGTGAAAAGGGTATTCATCATTGGCCTGGCCGACTGATGGCATGTTTAAGATAGATTATTTGGGAAGAGATTGATAAAGAGACAAATTACAAAGGTGTGGGCCCAGCTAATGCAGAACCTGGAGCTGGTAATGAGGACAAGGAGCAATGATGGAAAAGCATGCCACAGAAGGCTGTGTGGAGCGGCTTCCTGGATAGGAGCTGAGCTGTGCTTTTAACAGAGAGATATAACTAGTCCCAGCAAGGCCTCAGGAAAGAAGCCGGGCTTTAAATATTCAGCTCCACCTGCCTATCTCCCAACAGTCTGCTACTCATGCTTCCAAACACTGGCAACAGGAGAGCTTTAAAATCAAGGAATCCTTTGATTCTGAAGACATGTTGTTGTTAGGGGCTGTTGAATCGGTTCTGACTCTTCGAAACTCTGCACAACAGAATGAAATCCTCCTCCACAGTTGTTATGTTTGAGCCCATTGCTGCTGCCTCTGTGTCACTGCATCTTCTTAGGGACCTTCCTGTTTATTTTTTTGCTGACCCTCCACTTTACCAAGCATGATGTCCTTCTCCAGGGACTGACCCTCTACAGCACATCCCATGCATGACAAACTAAGTCCTATCCACTGGGTTTCTAAGGAGCATTTGGCTGTACTTCTTCTGAGACAGATTTGTGTGTTCTTCTGGCAGCCCATGGTACTTTCAGTATTTCTCACCAACACCATAGTGCAGATGTATCCATTCTTCTCCGGTGTTCGTCCTGATGAGATGTTGTTGTTAGGTGCCATCAACCCATAGTGACCTTATGCACATCAGAATGAAACCTGCCCAATCCTGGGCCAACCTCACTATTGTTGCCACGCTTGAGCCCATTGATGCTGCCACTTTGACAATCCATCTCACTGGGGGTCTTCCTCTTTTTCTCTGACCCTCCTCCTTACCAAACATGATATCCTTCTCCAATGACTGGTCCCTCCTGACAATATGTCCGAAGTATGAAAGATGAAGTTTGGCCATCTTGGCCCCCAAGGAGCACTCTGGCTGCATTTCTTCCAACTGAGATCTGTTGGTTCTTTTGGCAGCCCACGGCACTTTCAATATTCTCCTCCAACACCATAACTCAAAAACAGCAATTCTTCTATGGTCTTCCTTATTCATTGTCCATCTGATGAAATAGCTCACACAAATGAGCCTTCCAGGGCTCAGAACAAGATGAAGCAGCTCAGAGAATAGTTCTTGATAAACAAATTCAAGATACTCAGCACACTCAATAGCTTTAAGTTCTCCATTCATGAAACATACATTTATTAAGTTACTACTATGTGCTAGGCAATATTCTGTTGCGATCATAGGATTGTCAAAAGGACATTGTTTTTGGTAAAGTAGAGGGCTAAAGAAAACCAAAGAGCTTCTCAATGAGGTGGGTTGACGCAGTGACCACAGCAAACCCAGCAGCAATCATTCTGCTGGACACAAGGTCAGCATGAGTCACAGTTAGCTCCAGGGGATTTAGCAGCATGTGTCTAGAACTAGTCTAAGAATAAAAGTCCCTGTCCTTATGATCTGACACTTAATAAGCAAATGTAGTTGGTAGTTATGTGCTGTGGAGTCGGTTCTGACTCACAGCGACCCTGCATAGGGTTTCTGAGGCTGTAAATCTTTACAGGAGCAGAAAGCCTCTCATCTTTTTCCTGCAGAGCAGCTGGTAGTTTCAAACTGCTGACCTTGAGGTTCGCAGCCCAATTCATAACCACTACACTACCAGAGCTCCTTAATAAGCAAATTGACAAATAAAATAATGTTATAGGTAATTTTCAAGTTTCCTTGTAACAACAGTAAGGGATATATTGAAGATGTGACAGAGGCTATATTCTTGGGATATAAATCTCAGTAGAAAATTTAAGCCTGTCCCTTTGAATGTTTTCTACATAAGGTAAACCATCAGAAGAACCTTGGTGGCATAATTGGTTAAGGATTAGGCTGTTAATCACAGAGTTGGCAGTTCAAACCCACCAGCCACTCCATGGGGGAAAGATGAAGCTCTGAATGCTCTCATAAAGATGTACAGCCTCGGAAGCCCTAGGGAGCAGTTGCGTCCCAACACCAGTTCTGTGAACAAGTTACCTAGCTGATTTCTTCTCATGTAGAAATAACCACTACCTTGCAGAACAGGTGTTGCAAAGCTCTAGGCAGTCAGTTTTTTCCAGGCTGATCAATGACTCAAGCAGCTCAGTTCCAGGGAAGAAGTACCCTCTGAGTCTTATTTTGGAAATGGCCTGACTTTGAGGAGTATTCTTCTACTACAAATAGCCGTGTTCTTCTTGTTACTGATGCTGTAGCTCATTCAGTCAGTTTCTCTAGACCGTCATCTTTACGGGAGCAAGTCACCAGGTGTATCTCACTGAGAGCAGCTTGGTGGGTTCAAACTGCCAGCCTTTTGGTTACTAGACAGTGAACATTGAAGCTTTGTGCCATCAGAGTCGTTGCTGTTGTTAGGTGCTGATGAGATGGTTGTGACTCATCTACTGTATGTACCATTTCCAAGGCTATAAATCTTTTACAGGAACAGAAAGCCTCATCGTTCTCCCAGAGAGTGGGTAACAGGCTTAAAGTGCTGACTTGTGGTTCACAGTCCAGCACTTTTCCTATAGAGCCACTGAGCTGTACATTGTAATCTTTCCAAAAGCAGGTCACCAAGTATTTCTCCTTCAGGGCATTTGTTGTTGTTGTTGTTGTTGTTAGGTACCAGCAAGTCGGCGGCACCGACTCAAAGTGACCTATGCACAGCAGAACGAAACAATGTCCGATCCTGGGCTAACCTCACTACTGTTGCCACACTTGATTCCATCAATGCTGCCACTTGGCCAATCCATCTCGTTGGGGGTCTTCCTCTTTTTCTCTGAAACTTCCCCCACTTGTTCCCTCCCAAGATGGTGGCTCTGAGAATAGCTGAGCGTCTAGAATTAGAAAGCAGTGGATTTCTTGATTCTCCTACAAATTTCCCTAGCTGTAAGCCTTCCAGTCTTCTAAATATTCCTTTATATGTGGTTCAGAGTTCTAGCACCATCCCCTGAGCCTGCTTGGCCTGGTATTCTGTGTTGTTGGTGATGGAGCTCCTCACTGCACGTCTACACAATCCGCCATCTTGATTGTATCAGGGCACTTAGGTGGGTTCAAACAACCAACCTTTTGGTTAGGAGACAATGAACATTGAACCTCAGCCCTACTTTCATGGGACTACAAATGAGTGATTATGATAGTTGTTGTTGTTGTGAAGTGTCATTGAGTTGGTTCCAATTCATAGCGACCCTATATAGGGTTTCCGAGGAGTGGCTGGTGAGCTTGAACCACCGACCTTGTGGTTCAAACCGAGCTTGCAGTCCAGCACATAAAGTCTTATCAAAACTGTGAACCTGCTCAATTCTCCTCAAATGCTGCCCTAGTTTAGCCAGAATTCCTGATATGTTTCATGGAAAAACAGAAATCTGAAATTGTATATAACATTTTTCTCTCATTTAAATATTGATTGACTTTTTATGAAGTTGCTTGTGTGGTGAACAGTAACACATCTGTGGTCCAACATGCTTGACTATCCATTGGTGACCATCGGTTGGGATGAGAAAGTAGAGATGCTGGCTACTCTGTCATTGGAATAGGGAGTCGTGGTGGTGGTGTGGGTTAGGCATTAAGCTTCCTAACCACAAGCTCAGCATTTGGAATCCACCAACCATCCTGCAGAAGAAATAATTAGCTTTCTTCTCCCCTACAGATTCACAGCCTTGGAAACCCTATACAGGGTTGCTAGGAGTTGGAACTGACTCGACACACACAACAGTAGCAACATATCATTGGCATTGTTCTTGTAGCTAACAATGTGCTTTAAAACTCTTTGTGCCTTATTTGAGCCTTCATAATACATATGGAAGTAGATGCCAGTTGTAGACATCAGTAGAATTTGATAAGTTACTTGGTGGTAAACAAGCCTGCATGGGGATTTTATCAGCATGGAAACAAACATAATCATTGGTTTCCAAATGAAACAACATAGTTATTTCACCTCCAAATGGCAATGCATTAAAGCCAGCATTTTATATATTACTTAGCCCTAAATTATACAGTCTCAATTTGTTTCTGCTCATTAAAAAACAGAAACGTCCATTTCAGAAGTTTGTGGCTCAGTATTTTTGTTACTGTTTTGCTTTATACAGTAAACTAGCACAGACTTCTCAGAACCCATAGCAAAATGTTTCTATGAGGCTGACTTATTTAACCTAGCATTGTCATAAAATATACTTGCTATTTCTAAATATTTCTTAAAAACCTAACTAATTATTTCCCAATGAAGACATACTATAAAGTACTTACTTTAAAATTTATTTTAGTTGTCATTTTTGCCTAACAAGCAAGAGTGTATCTTGTGAGATTTATAAAAATAATATCATATTGCATTCTTTTCTTTATGGCCCAGAAGGCCACATGTTTACTGGCAGTTCATCTAGTGAAGAAATCTGCTATGTGAGGTCCAGGACAAACTTAGTTTCAATTCAGTTTTTGCTTTTTAGTTTATAATACAACAATCCAGAAAAATCTTTATTTATTTTATTTTTTTAGTAAAAGATAGAAAGAAAAGAAGTATCATTACCCAGAATTTTATATACTGTTGTTGTTGTTATGTGCTGTCGAGTCAAAGCTGACTCACAGCTATTCCGTATATGGTTTCAAGGGAGTGGATGTGGGTTTGAACCACCAACCTTGTGGTTAGTAGCCCACTGGGTATCCTACACTGCCACATATGCACACACACATATATACATTCCAACACACACATACATATTTCAACAATATGTTGTTAAGTGCCGTTGAGTCGATTCCGACCCATAGCAACCCTGCAT